TTCCATAAGTGCATTCTTAGTCTCCTCCAGAGTTGGTGGATCTTCAAGTTGAACTCAAACTCATCTTTGCTTGATTGAGTCTACTATTTGATCATTTGCACTTGACTCACAATTGAGGAGGGTCACAAAATGTTCTTTCCAGCTTTCTAATATCATACTGTGCTCAGATAGGAAGATGGTGCCCTCACTGGATTAGATTTGACTGGTATTGGCTCTTCATGGTCCATAAATGGACTTTAAACCCTGAAAAAACCTCAAGTGTTATTAGTATCTGCAAGAGCTTGTAGTTCTGTTGCTTTGTTTTCCCACCAAGTGTCCTCCATCTCCCACAGCTTTTTCTGCACTTCAGATTTTGATTTCATGAAGGCTTCTGCAGCTGTGAGAGAAATGAAGTTGTTCAGTTTAACTTGGTGCATGGCTCGATGGGCTGCAAGGAGTGCTTAAGTATTGTTCTCATTTGCATCAAACCAAACCACATTTTGCTGAGTTGGAACACGAAGGACTTCGTTAGCTGTTTATTGCATTACAGTCCAAAAGGTGCTCCATCTTTCATGAAGAGTTCCTCTTGCTCTTGCATTGGCGCGGTTTGATGGTGCAGCATGAGTGGAAATTGCTAACTGGGTTCTCCCCTCTTCTGTTAAAAGTTTTGGGACATCAACACATTGATTTGGTTTTGGGGCAACTTTCTGTCTGGGAGTGTGAAACCTGATGTTCAGTTTACTAGGGATAAGCTGGTGATCCATAGACCATTCTACCCCTCACATAGCCCTAGTAATGTAAACATTGCTCAGGTCATTGTGGCAAGTGATTCATAGATTCACAGATGGCTGGAAGGGACCTCAAGATCATCAGGTCCAGCCCCCTGCACCAAGCAGGAAAGACAACTGGTGTCAGGTGACTCCACCCAGGTGACCACCCAGTCTCCTCTTGAAGATTTCCAGGGTAGGTGATTGCAACACTTTTGGAGGGGGCTTATTCCGCAGTCTGCACACCCTGACTGTGAAGTTTTCCTAATGTTGAGCCTGACAGTCTAGAACAAGGGCAGACAAAATCAAGCCCATGGGCCGGATCAGGCCTGTGCTGGACTCCATTTCCCAGAAGCCCCCACCTACAGCAGAGAAGTAACAGTGCAGAGCCAGGGTTTCCATGGAGATCAGCCCAGCAGCACTGGCAGGGCACACAGCAGTGCAGGAAGCCGCTCTGGGGCCAGGATCTTGTGGCAGTCACAGCATGGACCAGAGCTGGGGCACAGCTGCAATCTGTGACCCGCATGCCCTGAGAAGGGGCATGCAGGCAGCAGATCACAGCTTTTCCCCAGCTTTAGGCCACACTATCACCGCTGCAAGTTTCCAGCTCCTATCCCAGAGCAGCTCTGCACCCAGCCACGTGCCCTGCCAGTGCTGCTGGGACTAATCTCCATGGAAAGCCTGGCCCCAAGCTGTCAGGGCTCTGCTGCTCCTGTGGTCTCCATGGAAAATGGCTGCAGTGATGTGAGCAGCAGCTTCTGGAAATGGATTTGGCTGCTGGTCAGATCCACCATTTTGCCCACCCCTGGCCTAAAAGATGCCATCATTTTGACCAAAGTTGCTGCCAAGACTAGAACCTTTTTTCTGGCATGTTGAAAAAGGTGTTCATAACAGCAAGGTCAAACAGTGTGCAGAGTGTTAAGAGTAGTTCTTCAATTGTGTTTAGAGACCCACGTCTGAATTTCCCCATGATTCTGTTCCAAATGGTGTAGTCATCTGTAATGCATGCATTCAAGTCACCCAGTAGTAGGATTTTCCCACTGTCGGATATGTTTCTTAGAGCATCACTCAGCTGGCTGTTGAACTGAGTCTTCATTTCTTCAGAAGAAAGTAGTATTGGACCATAGGTGCTTATTATTGCCAGAAAACTGTTGTGGGACAGTGGTATCCACAATGTCATTAGACGCTCAGATATTGGCATTGCATACTGTGGTAGTTTATTAGCGATGGAATTTGCTATTGTGAGTCCTACCCCATGTAGACTGGTGTTGTAGTCTGCCTTGTAACCTGACCAGTAGAAACTGTATTCTTTTTCTCTAAGCACACCGCTGTCATGTAGTCTAGTCTTGGATAAGTCAGAGATATTTTCTGATACCTGTGTAGCTCTTTCGCTACTAATGCCATTCTTCAAAGAGCTTAATTTTCCTTTGAATCAAGTAGTATATGAATGTTTCAGCACCTGAATGTCAGTTTCTTCCCATTTCTGTGACTGCTTCTCTCATTTAAAATGGAGATCCTGCTGATCATGGGAAAACAGCCAGGAGTCGGTGAGAGGCAAGCCTTTTTTACCCCAACTTCTATAAGGCCCTCCTTGGATTGAGGCAGCTGGGGCCTCACTAAATAGAGCTGCCTGATCACCAAAGTAGGACCTCATAGTCCCATTGCCAAGGTAGAATTGTGAGACTCACACACCTAGGCCACTTCTGAGGAGATTTTTGGCTACCAGATTCCAGCTTCTCAAGCCTGCTGGCACCTTCTAGGAAAGTCTTGCCAAGAGTCTTTTGGTGAAGGGTTACTGGATGATGATGGTGAAATAATGGGAGGGTGAAAACTATTAGTAACAGTAGATTGTCCATGCAAAATAGTTTAACATGCAACCTGCAGTGCATAGTAACAGGATGCACGCTCTGGGATGCCACAACCATTGCCCAGCAGAGGGCTGAGGCTCGACAGCAGGAGAGTCCTGTATGTGCCCCTCGGCGCCTGCTAACTTGGCTATGTGGCTCTTGCCATTGTCCAAGAAGGATCCTCTGCCAGGAGCCTGAAGCTTGGTGGCTGTTGATCCATATTAGGACGCTTCCACCCATTTGAGCCCTAGCCATTCACCCTGCTGCCAGCAAAAGGTGTGCACCTAGCTTCACCAGATCCAGATACTGGACATTTAGCTCAGATGAGGACCTATAGGAAAGGTGTGGGTGGCCTCTGGAATGACTCAAGATGAGGGTCTAGGCAGGGTTTCCCCTACCCCACACACACCCCACCACACACACACCTCACCCCCCAAACTGCTTTAAAACTGTAAATATATCAATAAAATATTGCCCAACTGATCTCTCTCTCTCTCTCTCTCTCTATGTATTAGGCCTGTGCGAATAGGGAAGTATTCAAATCAGACTTGGATTTGGCTGATTCAGAGGACAGTGATTTGATTTGGAGATTCGGATTACTGTCCCAAATCAATACGGCTGAATTGGCTTTGGAAGATTCAGCGCTGATTTGGAGATTTGACCATAGACTATAATGGGGAATCACTGAAATACCTATAACTTTGTCATTTTTGGGGTGATTCAGATAAAACTTTTAGGAATGGTAGCCCCTTCTGAGGGCATCAGGCCTGCCAAGTTTCAAGAAGCTAAGTATAGGGGTTTCTGGGAAACTGCACCTCAAGCTGCTGACAAACAAAACTGGTAACATATGTGAAACTGTGTGTCTGTTAAGGTGCAGCAGGGTGAAAACTGCAGGCATGGTAGCCCCTGATGAGGCCAGGATTCCTGCCAGGTTTCAAGGAGATAGGTGCAGGGCTTTCTGGGAAACTCCACCTCAGGCTGCTGATAAGCAAAACTTGTGACGTGTGACTGTGTGTGTTAAGGCGTGCCCTCACTGGCGCTCAGGCCTCTACACAACACATTAGTGTGCCCCAATGAGGTCTCCTCCTCCCCTACAGCCTCATCTGGTCCATCACTTTAAATAACAATGGGCAAGCAGCACAGTACCACTAGCATCTCAGGCAGCTAAACCATCACAGAGCCTTTCTTTCCTTTCCTGCAAGAGCTTCTTCTCCAGCAGCTGCCAGAGAACTCTCCCTGCCAGCCCCAGCCCTAGGGCTTAGATGTGCCCAGGGCCCTGCCTCCTTCCAGTCAGATGCCTGGGGACAGGTGCAGTGGGTGTTGGTCTAAGGACATGGCACTCGCAGAAAAGTTTCTTTGGGTCAATCTGGTATCTTTTAGTAGACCAACTGAATAGTTAGAGAAATATATCTTACAAAGCTTTCAGGTTGAAAAGCCCTTCATCAGGATGAGGAAGTACCTACAATTTGTTTGTGTGTGTACTGTTCCTGGATGGAAGGAATTGTAAAGAAGCCAGAGGCTGACATGCAATGCAGGCAAGAAAAGCCAGTCAGTGAAAATGGAAATGGAGGAGTCGGGGGGTGAGAGAGACAGAATGGGGTAGGGGGGAAGGGGCATGTAGTAGGTAAAAGTGGAGAGGTACCTGCTGCTACCTGAGGAGTCAGATGTGCAGCAGGTTGTAGTGTGTCATAAAACCAATGTCTATATTATAGAGTCCATGAGTTTCTGTATCTAGGAGGTTGATGAAGTTCAGAGGCCTGTCTGTGAAAAGTGGTTTGTCTGTTAAGAGTGCAGTTTTAGTGGTCATTTAGAGTACCTGGGGCCTCCTCCTTCCCCATAGCCCCAGCCCAAGTTCATCCTGGCATGAGAGCTCAGCAGGAACATGTTCTTTCCCTGCTGCTGGTGGTGCAGTGAGTGTCACCCCCAGCTCAGAGAGCAAGGCATTAACTGGTTTAAAAAAAAATGGAAGTAAGTGTGGATGGAGTGAGGAGGGTGGCACTCGCTTCATCTGCAGGTTGAGCTTTGGGAACCCCAGCAACGGGAGGTTCACCTTGAGGACCACCTGCTGCACCAAACCAGGATCCAAGGAGTTGTGGTGGGGTGTCACAACATCCCCAGCAATGCTGAACAGCCTCTCGCTCAGAACACTGGTCGGTGCATAGGACCGGTGTTCCTGGGCAACCGTGGCCAGATCCTGCCACATCTACCTGTGGGTTGCCCAATAGGCTAAGGGGTCGCAGTCCAGCAGCTCCACATCCTCAGTGAGACACGTAGTCACTGAAGCCTTGACACTACCTGCCGGAGGCTGGGGTCTGCTGCATCTGGACCCCAACGTTGAAGCCATGCCATTGGCCCACATTGGCAGTGGTTGGCATGGAGGAGACTGGCTAGTGCTGGTGCTGGGAGTGCTGCCCTTCCGTCTCCCTGACTCTGTTCACCAGCACCTCCATCCAGTGATTAAGGGTTTTGGTGCTGCCAGTGCACATGCTTCCCTTCACTCTCCAGTTGTACATGCCCACCAGCATGTGGAAGTACTGGACCATAACAGATCCAGCTGTTTCCTGATGTCCTCCTTCAGCCACCTCACCAGTGCCTGCACATCTGGTGACAGCGGCTTTCCCCAGCCAGGAACACTGATCCCCTGGAACTTCTCCATTTGGTTCTCAAGTTCCCTTACTATGGGGATCACCTGGCTAAGGAGGGCATTGCCCGTGTTGAGGCTCTCGGTGGCCTCAAGGAATGGCTTGAAGAGCACCAAGATCTGGGAGATGATATCCCACTCTGCTTTGTTAAGGGGGCCACTGATCCCAATCTCCCTGAGCAAGGCCATCTCATGAATGGCCTTCTGTTGGTCCACCATCCTTTCCAGCATCAGGTATGTGGAGTTCACACTGAGTCTCCACGTCCTGCATGACTATGTGCTGCAGGTTGCTCAGGTCTGCCTGTTTCTCCAGCAACATCTTGCCCCTCTCGATGCTGCAGTGGAAGTAACCCACCACCTTCCTGCATCTGGAAATCAGCTGGGTGGTACTGACAGCACCATCACTAGCAGCCCTGTCCCCCTCCAAGGCATCCCTAACTATGAGGTGCAGCTTGTGTGCAACACAGTGGATGCCAACAAAGCTGGCATCATGGACCGTATTGGCCCCACTGTCACTGACCATGAACCCACAGGTGAGCTCACCCTGCCCAGCAAGCCACCCCTGCACCATGCAGTTCATGGTCACCATGATCTCCCTTGCCGTGTGGGACTCATCCATCACCTCAGCTTGCAGGAGGGCCCACTGACAGCCTGACTGATCACACCAGTTCCCTGTGAGGGGGAGGTAGGTGTGATCTCCACCCTGACTCCTCCAGATGTCAGAAGTTAAGTGCAAGGCTACAGTGGCTTGCGTAGCTCCTCCCTTAAGTACTTCCTGCATGCCTCATACAAGGAGGGCACCACTGTCCCGCTAAAGGTGGCACATGCGGGCACTTAGTAGGATGGGGCCATGAGTGCCATGAGCTGTCTGAGCCCTGGCTGCTCAACCAAGGAAAAGGTCTGGCCATCCAGAGCAAGCATCTCCCCAGTGCTCTGGGTGACCTTGCTCATCTTCAGAGCATACCCTGCTTTGTCTGCAGCTTTCCCCCACCGCTCCAGGGTGGTCTGCCTCTGTTTCATGGGGGTGGGGGCTTTGGAGCGAGAGGGGGAACTTCCATTTGGGCATGCTCCCACTGGTGCCAGGCTGAGGAGGAAGAAGGGCAAGGGGGTGCTGCCTCCTGAGATGCAGCAAAATCACCATGGTGGTGAAGAGTTTCACTTCCTTGCCCTGGCTAATCTGCCTTTGGCAGTGCTGGCAGGTAGCATACTTGGGATCATCTGCCACCTCAAAATGATCCCACACTACACTAACCCCCCACCCCACTTCTGGGTTGAGCGTGGGGATACTGCATTCTCCTCCTCCTAAGCAGGAAGAGGCACAACAACAGGGAAAGCTGAGCCACCTGCCCCCACAACCTCCTCTGAGGTGTCTTCCTGAGAAGGAGCCCTGGCTCTAGAGGAACTTTGAGGGGAGTGGAGGACAAACTCAGATTCACCCTCGGTCCCCAGAATTTCTTTAGCTAAGGCGCTCAGGTCCCCTGGTTCCAGATTCAGCTCCTTCTCTGGCATGGGGAGACTCACGCTGGGAGATAACATTGGGGTAGAGGAGGCTGTCATTCTGCTGCTGGTGGCTATTTCTGGTGTTAGGGGAGGTGGTGCAGGTGCAGGGACAGGTACTGCTCCCACCTCCTCATTCTCACTGGCAGCAGACGACTCATGGCTGCCAAAAAAGAGGATGCATCTATGTTGGGGGGGAGACTTGCAGCTCTAGCTCTCCTCCTACCCCCTCTAGCCCCTCTCCCTCCCCTGCCAGAAGACCTGTCACCTGCCTTTCCAGCACACTTCATATTAATCTTTCCTGTGCTGGACAATGTGTCTCTGTGTGTGTGCAGCTGTAATATGTCTTCTTCTTCTCTGATGTATGACTGTGTCTGACTTCTTCTGTGTTGTGCTTACTGTTGTGTGTGTAACTAAAACAATATCTCTTCTTCTTCTCTGATGTATGTGTGTCTGACTTCTGTGTTGCGTTTAGTCTGTTTCTGTGTGTAACTATAATATCTGTGTGTGTGTGTGTGCGTGCGTGCGTGCGTGTGTGCGCGCGCTTTCCTGAACAGTAATGGATCACACTGCCAGGGAAAACACAGCTTTCTTTTTTAAAAGTGTTGGGGGGGGGACACCCCAAGAACAAATAAGAGGTTTTGGGGGGAAGAATAAGCTGAAAGAAATGGATTGGATAGGGATGAGCAGGAGGATTCTAGTTTGTAAGCTGTATCCAATCCTTTCCAAGAACAGAAACTAGCAGGAGACTGACTAGGTAGGAAGCCAAGTCAGTCCAGTACCTTTCAGATACTGTTGCTCAGACAGAAACAGCTCACCAAAGGCTGCAGACAGGGGCTTATATGCTGTTTCTACGTTCCTCCTCCAGAGCATTGTGATTGGAAGGGGACTCAGGAAAAGATCACAGCCACTGGCCAGCTACAGATGTCAGTCTTTCCCCCCCACTCCCCCTTCTTCTACTCAGTTTCTGTTCCCCTGAAAAACTGCCTTCTGAATCTCCAAATCTTTTCTGAATCAATTCAGAGGGATTTTTTTCCTCCCGATTTGATTTGGATTTGGTGATTTGTTCTCCAAATCAGGTCAAATCTTCTCCAAATCAAATTGGCAACTGAAGCTTTGCACACCCCTACTATTTACCTGTTCAAACGTAGATACATATATGGAATTAGATCTTTCTCCCTGCACAACTCTTTGCTCAGATGGAATGCACCCTCTTGCAATCCTATGCTGCCTAGGAAAGCACATAACTCCTTCCAAGTCCTTGAAGGATCAGTTGAAGAATAAACATGACTAGTGATTGCTTGACAGTGGAGGAAAAGACTTCTCCCACCCAATATCTCAATGATTCAGGAAGCTGCCTGTGGAAGGACAGACACAGGTTCTAGGCTCCCTCACTCAGAGAGGGCTTGAACTCACTTCTTTCACTTCACAGCAAAGTTCCCCAGCTATCAAGGCAGCAACTACATGGGGCTAAGAGCTTGAACTCTACAGCTTACTGAGGTAGACACTGTCACAGAAGGAGGGGGTTCTGGGTTCTGCCCCAGTGGTATTTCTGCAGTTTGCATTAACTAACCATTGGATACAATAGACAGACAGCAAAGAGAGCGCTCTTCCTTTTTGCTAAACCACAGAACAAGGCTGTCTTTGTTCCTCTTGACAGGTTGGATAATGAAGTTGTTGTGTGGAAGCCAAGGGCCTCTTTGACATTGGTTCTGGGAGATACAGGCTATACTTGATAGGCTGCAAACTACAAGCTGCAAACTACAGGCTGAAAACTACATTCAGGGTGGGACCTGTACAAAGGACTTTCCAGCTGGGAAAGCAGCTCTTTCATACTGTTTTGGACCCTTTGGTATTTGGCAAGGAAGGATATTGCTGCCCTGAACTCTGCTTTCAGCTTTTTCTGCTCTGACTCTGAAGGCCAGCATATACTCCCCAGATACAATTGTGGCACCGCTGCTATAATTTTTTAACATCCCACCAGCAGAGTCCAAACAGTGAGAGTGCTGCCACTGGGCAACCTGCCTGGCTGGAGTGGCAGGCCTTGTGGAAGACCATCTAGAAACAGTATTGAGACCAGAGCCACTGACCTGTGCACTTACTGAGAGACCTCTGCAATAAAACTGGAATATCTTCCAGGAGCAGCGAGGAAAGTACAGTTATAGCAAATCAGACAAAGCATTTAAGATTATATTGTGGGTGCCACTGTGCTTTCTATCCATGACAGGTCTATTCTATCACTGATTTTCACAACTCTGTGAAGTGCCATTTTTTACTCCCCTCATTTTCAAAGAGATAATGATATCTCATCATCCAAATGCACATCAAGCTACTCAGCCCGCTGCTCAGTTGGCACTGAATGGGAGATGGAAGCCAAATGCAATGTTTTGTTGCTACAGTGTTAATAGAAACTCTGGCATAAAATATTTCACAGGATTCAGTAGATAGTCAGAGACCTTGATGTCAAATGTACTTATTTAAAAAATGAGTTGCTGGCCAGAGCTGCAAATATTGAAAGGCATGCAACTGAAAGATGAGTGGGGGAAATTGTATAATGCATTACTGTGTGTCTAGTTAACTTTGCTATGTTCTTCCTAACTACATTTATGGCAGAATCCTATTCCACCCACTGGACCCTGCTTCCGTCATAGGGCAGGTAGAACTTGATGGCTGTCAAATCACTGCCACCAAAACTGCCACCTGGGAGGGTATGCCTTTGGGGACCCCACCATGCTGTAGACCTCTCATGGAGGGTTTGAGGTAGCTGTGCTGACCACATGTCCTAGGTGTACCATCTGCAGTCCAGTCTGAGGTCAAGACCCCCAAGGCTGGGGTTACACCTGCTCCATGGGGACTGTCATCCTGTGCCTCTTTCCATTGTCTCCACATCTCTGGCAAGGGAACATCTGGTTACCTGGTGTGAACGAGTGAGACAGAACTTACAGCATGGAGGGCCAGCAGTGCTGCAGCCTGGAAAGGAAGGCAAATACCCACCCAATTTCCGGAGCAGCATCTCGCTCAAGATTGGTGGAGGGAGGCCGCTCAAAGGTATTTCCGGCCCCGGAGCGGGACGGG